ATTCTACAGTGTGTTTTAGGAGGTTTTGGGGATTTAGCAATACCATTTGATCCTACCATAATTACTTTACCCGTACAATTATATGTCATTTTAATTCTTAGCATAATTGCCTTATTTACATTACTATGCATATAATATAGTATCTCAGTTTACATTATTTAGTATAGTTTTAGGCACTTAAATTTACTTGGCGGGGAGTAGAAATCAAGTATGCAATTAAATAAGTTGCTTAAATAAGTGTATTCCTAATTATTCAGTTTACTTTAGAAACAGTATTTGATTAACAAATACTTCTTTGAAGTAACTCTAAGCAGAACATTTGTTGAATTAAAGTAAGCCTCCCTTTTCCCATACATGAACTTGTCATTCAAACACACAATTGATCCACATGCTTTAACTACTGTTTATATGCACTGTTTATAACATGTAAAGTTATTTCATTTGATACTTAACAAAAGTGAATTATGTGGTTATCTATGAATTGCATATTTTGGTAGTTGAAGTATTGTATGTATGTATGTCATTCCTCTACTTTGTTAGTGGAATAACGTTTTTAAAACTTATTTCAACTATCAAAAAATGTTCTCTTAGTACATTATTTGCATCTGTTGTGCTGTATTTGTTATTGATTAAATTCTTGCTTATTACAGTATTTAAATATTTCAAGATTAAAAAAAAAATCATTTCTATTACTGAATTTTTTCATTGGGGCCATTTTTACCTACTTGTCATTTGGGGCCATTTTTACCGGGACCATTTTTTCCTGGGCCATTCTTACCTACATTCACTTTTCCCATACACCTCCATGATGTGACCCGGCTGGACGGTTGAATCTCCATCTGATGTGTCGTTGTAATAAGTAATTGTGTATACTGTCATGATTCCATGCATCGATCGCTACTCGTAGTTCCTTCTCCCCTTTTACAAAGTTGCCACTATTGTCAGATCTAATTTCTTCAGGTGTCCCTCTCCTGGCTACAAATCGCCTGAGTGCATTTATGAAAGAATTCGTATCGAGGGTATGCGCAATTTCTAGGTGAACTGCTCTGATAGAAAGACAAGTAAAGATCACTCCATATCTCTTGACCTTAAATCTGCCACGTTTCACCTCGAAAGGTCCAAAGCAGTTGACACCAACATAGGTTTGCCCATGACCGGTGTTACGCGGTCATGGGCAAACCCGCAATCTTCTGATTTGCAGTGGGTGCTTGGCGTTTCTTACACCCAAAACAGTCTCTTGTGATAGATTTTACAGTGACTCTCCCGCTAACTGGCCAAAACCTTTGTAGAAACAATGACAACGTGTGTTCGGTTCCTGAATGACCAGCTTGTACATGGTAATGTCTTGCAAGCAATTTTATAATGTGATGGCACTTGGACAGGATAATTTGATGTTTGCTGTCATCATTGATAGCAGCCTTTTGGAGTCTTCCACCTACTCGCAATAAGCCGTCCTTTATAATTGGGTCTAGCTTTAAGATGCTACTGCTCTTCATGATTTCTTTGTTCTTTTCCAAACACTTGAGTTCTTCTTTGAATGTCTGTCGCTGTAGATATCTGACGATCTCATTCTCAGCTTTTTTAAACTCTTCTACCGAGATTGGTTTGATGGTGACACGATCTCCCGTGGATGGTCTTGCTTTCTTCATTAGTTTAGCTTTATATCATATCGGAGAATCCATGCCATTGTTTTTCTGAGACGTTCCCATGAAGAAAATTTCAACATCATCATATCTAAACGATTGTTATCATCGATGCTAGTGTCGATTGGTGCTGCAACGGCAGTTTTGATTTCTAGGTCATCGATGCTAAAACTGTCATTGATCATTGTCTGAGGCCATACTTGCTCTTGACACTTTAGGAAAGCTGGACCTTCAAACCATAAATTGTTTCCAATGAGCATGTTGACTGAAGTTCCTCTAGAGGCCAAATCAGCAGATTTTTGCTTCGTATCAACATGTCTCCGCTGATCTTCTTTCATGGCACGAAGAATTTTAGACACCCCGTATTATTGCATCTAATCTGGTAGAGATGACTGCCGCAGTGAGCTACAACCTAGGAATGGTTGTTGATTTAATTGGCGCAAGATTGGACTTTGCGATGATTAGTGATGAGCATACATTGCCAACAGAGTCTCCTTGGACGAGATATGATACATCTCCATATCCTACAGTTAATGCATCAGAAAAGTGGTGTAACTCACTTTCTACGGCTTTGAATTGTGATGGCTTATAGCATCTCGATATCTTCATAACTTTTAGCAGTGTGATTTCAGCCACCCACTTGTTCCATCTTGATCGGATGTTTTCTGGTATATCATTATCCCACCCAATTCCCTGACGGAACAGATCCTGTAAAATCTGTTTGGCTGGAAGGACACATGGTGAAGCAAACCCCATTGAGTCATACACTGAGCTGACTACACAGAGTATGCCTCGTCGAGTTAGTGGTCGAAGTTTTGGTGCAACGTTGAAACCTAAGTTGTCATCGTTGACGTACCATCGAATGCCAAGAACTCGCTCTTGGACATCATCTCCCAGGTTCATAACACTCGGTGCATTCTCAGACTCTGGCAACTTGTCTAGGACTTCCTTTGAGTTACACACCCATTTGGTTAGTCGGAATCCTCCAGTCTTTAGAAGATCCCTTAATTGCTGTGAAAGATGAACTGCTTCGTTTTCCGTTGCAACTGACTTTAAACAGTCATCCACATAGAAATTTCGTCTCACTGTATTTGTAACAGCATCGTCAAACCCACTGTTGTCATCAGCTGTTTTTCTTAGCGCAAAGTTCGCACATGTAGGTGATGATACACCTCAAAATAGGTGCACAAGCATTTGGTATTCTTCGGGGTCCTTTGAGAGGTCGCCGTTTGGCCACCATAGATATTTCAAGTACTGTGAATCTTTGTCGGAAACTCTAACTTGGTAGAACATGGCCTCTATATCTGCCATGAAAGCAACTTCTTCTAATCTGAATCGCATCATTATGCCGATTAAGGTGTTCGTGAGGTCCAGCCCCTGTAACAGCTTGTCGTTCAATGAGCAGCCTCTATACGTCGCTGAGCAGTCGAAAACCACACGGACTTTGTCTGGTTTCTGGGGATGCAGGACGGGATGATGTGGTAAATACCAACCCCCTTCGTTGACCTTATCGGGATGAATCTTCCGAGCCTGTCCCTTGGTAACTAGCGTTTCCATAAAATCGGTGTACTTGAGATGGACGGAGGTGTTACGTTTGTAGTTCCTTTCGGAGAGGTTCTAGTCGACGTTTAGCAAGAGTTATGTTATTCGGCAAGTGGGTATGACTTCCAAGGCAGTGCAATGTGGTAGTGACCATCGATGAGCTGCGCACTATAATTTAGAACAGCAAGTGCCTTTTTTATCATTTGTGAACATCTCAGGCTTTGTTCTCGCGACGTCGCTGAATTCCACTTGGCAGAATTGTCGAAAGAGTTTATCAATAGAGTGTTCTTCTAGATTGATAAAGTTTGCAAATTGTTCATCTTGAACTGAAGCTTTGCTGATTGGTCCATTAATGACCCACCCCATTCTTGTTCTGGTCGCGTATGACCCGTTGCCACTACATGTTCGTACTTCTAATGGCTATAGTAACTGTGGTGCATCGCTGCCGATAAGAGTTCCGATACCGCTATCATCTAACTGTCGAAGTTTAATTCCATCGAGATGTTTCCAATCTTTGATATCCTCATGGGTTGCAATGATTCGCTTTGACATGGGTAGCGTAGGTCTAGAAAAGACCTTTGGAATGTTTGTACAATTGTTCCCATCCAGATCAAACAAATCTAAGCAGGCTACATTGCAACAGATCGGCGAGTTAGCTCCATTCATTGTTATTAAGGAGAGATTGGCATCGAAACATTTTGCTCCAAGTTGGCGAAGCAAGGCATCCGTACAGAAAGTGGTGTTATAAGAGCCATTATCTAGGAACGCGTATGTTTCAACAAACTTGTTACCTCCTTTCGCTCTTACTCGTACAAGAACAGCAGCTAAACTTACACCTGGTCCTTTACACTTAGAAGCCATGCTAATGGTACTTGAATTTCCTGAGTCTGTGTTGATGTTTGTTGGTTTTCCAACACTTTGTGGTTGACGATTTGATGTTTCAGTTAGAGTTTTATTAGTTGGGTGGAGAAATGTAGAATGCTTTTCTCTACAAATTTTACAGAAGCTTGGCTCAGGGCAAGCTGCCACATAATGTCCAGTAGACAAACAATTCATACACAATCTTTTTTCACGAACAAATTCTAGTCTTGCTGGCACAGATGTTTGCTTAAATTTGCCACACCTGGACAACCAATGCGTTCCCGAACACAAGGAACACTTTCTTTGGAATGTCTCTACTTCTACTGCGTAATTGATACCTTTGATATTTTGTTTAACATTTTTGTCCTTTGATCCAACAACTCCAAAAACTGGATGACTGGTAGCTCTGGCTTTAGCAGTAACGGAATCTGCAGTGTCTTTAATGGTGACATCTCGATTTTCTTTTTGAATGATCTGATCTACCTTGTCGCGCCAAGATGACTGTATGCGATAAGGTAATTTGCTGATGATCTTTCTGAGATTGTCAAGCTTTTGTATACAGTTCAGTTCTTCAAGTGTATTTACACAACTTAGTAAGTTAACTGAGAATTTTTGCAACGACTCACCGTCTTCGGGCTTGATGGCAGGGCTGTCAACCAGTAGCAATGATATACGGTTTCCCATATCGTTCTTCGAGCAAAGACATTGCCTTGGCATAGCCGTCCTTCATTACGAGGCAACTTCTGATGAGTTCCTGAACGCTACCTTGTGTATATTGTATTAAGTAATGAAGTTTGGTGCTGTCATTTCCAGCCTTTTCTACAACTAAATGTTTGAAAGCATTAATGAACTCACAGTATTGAGCAGGATCTCCGCTGTACGGCTTGAGTGCTGGATTTGGCAGAGTAAGAACACTTAAACTGCGTCGCTGCTGGTCTAAAAGCTGAATAAGCGCTTTGTTTTGTTGTTCTTGTGCTTCCAATAATCTAGTTGTAACATCCACTGATGATGGAGCAACAGGCGTTTCCTGTGTCAATTGATCGTGATTGGTAGATTGCGTCACAGAAGGTTGATTTAGTATCATTGAAGATGTCAGTTCGTTAATCATATTAACAGGTCGCAGGATTCCAGTAGGTGGATTGAAAGGCACAGAGCTAAGCGGGTTGGATTGTAGGCCTGTCAGGAAAAATTTGGTCCGGGGCCAAAATCGGTCCGCCTGACCGATTTTGGCTTTAAAATTACCTGCCAATGTAGTCCACATAAGCCAAAGTCGGTCCGGCGTGTATATAGAAGTTATGACTTGTATTTTCATAACGTTGTTCATTTTTTTAAAATAAAATAATAGTTGAATATCTTATCTCTCATTATATAATACTGCTTCATTCGTTATGTGTGTTTCGCGCCCAGTAAACCCTTTGGTGTAAAAGTACGAAAAGAAGTTAAACGATTCGTCTTAAATCGTGTTGGTCCGCTTTAGTTTATTTTTTTTTACCTTTTTAATTGTCGTGGTTGTGTATGCTTAACGCCGCCACGAAGTACATGCATTCATTTCAAAGAATTCTGACCCCTTTATTTCATGTATATTAGAATATCTATTGTATGATCTAATACCCCACAATATTTAAAACTAATAAATCAGTCTTGTGTTTCATTTTAAACCCAAACCCAGGCCTAACTACGGCCGCCGAAAATTAATTAATGAGATGAATCAGCATATATTAAATCAACTTGCGTCTATGCAAAACCTGTTTTTTTTTTTAAAATAACGTTATCTATTTTATTCTGCTGTTTTACAAAATAATCTTATAAATTATAAGTTTACTTTCTATGATAATTTTATCCACATAATTCATGTTTTCAATGTTAGTATAGTTGATAAATAATACATAAAATAATAATAATAATAATAATAATAATAATGAAGGTGCTCGAATAATGCTTTAATAAAGAATTAATAATACTTCAATAATACTTCAATAGGCCTATTCGCGATAGTGTGATTAATGAAATATTTGTTGATTAATTTATAGAAATATATAATAGGTATAGGCCTATACCATTAATAATGATTCAGCATTTTAAATCAACCTACGTCTATAGATGTAAAATCTTTTTTTCTTTCAATAAAATGTTACCTATTTTATTCTGTTTAAAAAAATAATCTTATAAAATACCGTACATTATAAAGTTTCATTGTAAATTATATGAGAATTTAATCCACATAATTTATGTTTTCAATTATTTAAGCATTTAAACAATTCA